ATCATCAGAAGTGAGGAATTTTTGAATGACACGTAAATTTATGCTGCAAGCCATTTGTAAATAAAGACAATTTGAATAAATCTAAATGACGATTGCTTTAAAATACCTATAAAAATGGGCAGAAACTGTTCTTTTCTCCCTTAATAGTCAGTAAATGGTCGTAAAAAGCAGGCCTAAAAGTAAAGTGAGCCTAATTTCAGAAAAAAACACAGTTTGAACTGCTTGAAGTTGAAATGAATGAAATATACGCTTTTACGTATCAAATTCCAGGATAACTATTTTTCTACCCATTTTTAGGACTTTCATAAGTGCGAGACACATCACATTTTCACAATTAAGCAAATAATAATGAAATGGCATGCAGCACAAATTTCGTCGTCAAAACGTCACTTTTCCACGCCTATAAGTTCAGTCATTTATTGTGACAAGGCGCTGTAATATACAAGCACGAGCTCATGTACATATGCTCGCTTTTGGTGTGCCGAGAGCACATGTACTTGGGCTTGTGTTTGTGTGTGTGATTACCGATTTCGTCACATTTCGCCAGACCGTTAACTGATTTTGAATCATATGCTGACTACTCAGGAGCCTTAAATAGAGTGCTAAATATTTGGATGTATTATTTAGAGAATAGAACTTTTTGATTAATAATATATCCACCTAAAGAATTCTCCCATAGCACATCCAGAATATGGAGCCAAGTACTGAAGAGGAGCTGCATCAGAGGCAGTGGCAGATACAATAACAGTATAATTGATAGCACCGCTGTCTGTTAAACGTTTTACAATTTGCGCAACAGTAGATCTCTTTTGGCCAATAGCGACATAAATGCAGTATAATTTTTTTTTCTCTTCTCCACCGTCATTGAAACGTTTTTGATTGATAATGGTATCAATAGCAAGAGCAGTTTTTCCAGTTTGCCGGTCTCCAATGATCAATTCACGTTGACCACGACCAATAGGCACTAAAGAATCTACAGCTTTAATTCCAGTTTGCATAGGTTCTCTGACTGACACTCTGTTATAAAAAAAAAGTACATATAATGTTATGTACATACTAAATAATAGTCTCTAATTTTATCTCTCATTAGAAAAAAAGAATATCAATTGATTTTCTTGGGGAAAGATTAAATAATTACTAAAAAATTATAATTAGTTATAATTGTTGTAAACAATTATAAAAACATAATTTATAAATTACCTAGGAATAATGCCTGGGGCTTTTGTTCCAATACGGAATCTTAATTTGCTGTTTAGAGGTCCCTTGCCATCGATAGGATTACCCAAGGCATCAACGACACGACCCAATAATTGTTCGCCAACAGGTACGTCAACAATAGCACCAGTACGTTTGACGATATCGCCCTCCTTAATATGTCTGTCATTACCAAATACGACAACACCCACGTTGTCAGGTTCCAAATTCAATGCCATACCCTTTAAGCCTGAGCTGAATTCTACCATCTCATCAGCTTGAATGTTTTTCAACCCATACACACGTGCGATACCATCTCCAATACTGAGCACCCTACCAGTCTCTTCAAGATTAGCCTAAAATGTACATCCTCCTTCAGATATTTTCAAAACTAATATCTTTAAACTATAAAAGTATACATGTATATCTAAAATTAATAAAAATGAAATGTTTAAAAATGTGATACTGAATGATTTAAATATATAATATTCAATTTATTTCTAAGTTGTGTGTGGGTTACCTTTGGTGCTGATCCAAGGATACGTTCTTCCAAGATAGCAGAAATTTCTGCTGAACGGCGACTACATGAGACATGATATTTACGGGAAGCAATAGCAGTTGCAGACCAATTAATCTAAAGTACAAATAAGTATATATTACATATATATATATACGTATA